TTTTTTTTTTAAATTATTCAAAGATCAAACGTACGTTAAAATAGAAGAAGGTAATTTCAAATTAATTTGAATTTGATTGCTTTTTATATTTGAGAATTTTTGCCAATTGAGATTCGATTTAGTATTTGAGTCTAGATTTTGCTAAATTTAATTTAGATTCAAAGTTGTTTTTCAAATACTACAAATTTTGGCTACAATGATGTCAAATGTTTAACATTCACAATCACACACTAGCTATTCGCCTTTGAATTCGATTTTGTTTATACTTACTACTTCATCTATCTCTAGCACTCAAGTAAAAAAAATTAATATTCACAATATCCGATTTGACCAACCAATCATATATGTGGAAATGTTGAGGCACATCAATTAACTAGAAAAAACACATTTTGTTCGGTGGTCAAATGTGACAATTTGACTTGCATAGTCAAACATTGAGAATTTGGATTTATTAATTAGTTTACTTTTAAAACATAGTTACATATTATTTTATGTGTATGTATGTTTAGTTTAGTTTTTTTCTATAAAAGTAGTTGTCTTGTTGGGGGAGGAAGGTAAAGTTGGTCGAATGGGGTGAGGGTACGTGATACACAAGGCAACTGTTTTTTCAACGGCCTTCAAATTTAAAACCAACAAATTCAATATATTTATAGCACACTAGTTTCATACTGTAATGACAAAATTTAGATATTTAGGTATTCTCAAATCTGGATTAAGGATCAAATTTATCCATTAGTTATGCTATAGGTACAGAAAAAGTTTGACAGAATTTATCAAAAAAAAAAACTAAGCAATTTTCATTATTTTCAACACAACAATAGCAAAAAATATACCAACGCAGCACTTACATGATTTTTGTGACGCAAAGAATTGTTTTTTTTTTTCCCATTATGGTAAATTACTAAAGCGGTGAGAGATGACTTAATCTCATATTGAAACGAACATCTATAAATCTCGTATGTTTTTGAGTGTTTATTTTTCCTTTTCGAATTGATTGTTCTTGGTGGAATAGAATTAGGCCCTTGTTTGAAATCTATTTTTCTTCAAACTCATTTTCAATCATATATGTTCTTTCTATTTTTCAACATCACATCCTTCGAAAAATCACTATTCCACAAACTATTTTACCAAATAACGGTGCTCAAACAAGGGCTAAGGTTTTATAATTCTCAATAAGGTCAGGTCATTTTAATCGTTTTGAATCTAATTTTGCATCTAACGGTCCATGAATTGGCCCACTCGGTTTACTCGCCGATTTAGCGGGTTACTTTTATCGGGCCATTCCCAAGCATTCCATGTCAAGCCATCATCCCAGTCTGACATCTCTATTTCTCCATTTTGTTATGTCAAAAAAAAAAAAAAAAAAAAAAAAGTTTCCCATCTAACCCATAAGAATTGCAATTCCTCATAATAGTGAAATACTTGGTCACGTGATGGTGAAGCTAGAAAATGAATTGCTTAGAAAAATTTGCCAATCAAACACTTAAAAAGGTGGGGAAAATTCATCCAATCAAACGGGGCCTTATTTTTAACTTTAGAAGATTTATTTATTCGATGTCAAAATTTGATAGTATTTAATAATTTTAAGTTGTAAAAAATAGTTTTTTTTTTTTCTTTTTTCAAGATAAAGATTTAGTGACTCTCGAATCCTAAAACTCGGGTCGTCACATTAGTGTTAACTTCTAATTCATAATTTAAGTATAATATACATATTTTAAATATTACATTTGTATTTCATTTTATTGTTGACTTGTGGGTTTAAAAGATCTAGTTTTGAAAAACCCGTAGTAAAAAGTAAAAATAAAAATGAATGTACACTCTACCCCCGTTTGGCCCCCCATTTTTTGGAAATAAAAATAGTTGAAATAGTGTTTTGTTTCAAAAATGGCTGCTTCAAAAAAAAAAAAAAAAGTTTTTTTTTTAGCTTAAAACTTTAATTTCTTTAGTTGAGTATTATACATTTCACTTCATGAAATAAGTCATAGGTGTGATTGACATATTCGTGTAATATATATTAATGGTCGATCATGTCTAACGATGTCAAATATGTGCTTGATTCTTTTAAACATCAATTGATGTTAGAAAGAAAAATGAGAAAATCCATTTGTATAGAAATGGGTTTGACAGAAATAATACGAAATTTTCACATGAGATGGCTCCATGTGAATAAAATAGTGAAAAAAAAAAACCCTCAATTGTGTCTCATCTGTATAGATTCTGTCAGCCATCTTCTGTACATATTTAAAAAAAAAAAAAGGATATTTGCATTAACATGCAATTTTCTTTATATAGGTGAAAAATCTTACCATCCAACAATTATGCAAGACACAAGTGATCACTGCAGTAAATGGAAGTCTTCCAGGACCATCTCTCCATGTACGAGAGGGCGATACGCTAGTCGTCCATGTTTTTAACCTCTCCCCGTACAATCTCACTATTCATTGGTAAGATTCTCTCTCTCCCCCATTTTATAAAGGGTTGAACCCCAACCTTAAGGGTCTCCCACCGTTCCTGCCCTGGAGTATCGTGAGGAAGGTAAATCGCAAGTTATGCCTCCAAGGGTACAGGGTGGAAGGCTGCTTGTACACTTATACTTACCCAAGAGCCAAATCCATATTTCAGGATTCGAACCCTTGACACGACAGTTTCAAGTAAAGTTGAATTTCTCCACCCTCCCCTTTTACCACTTGGAGATGTACCCTGGGGGCATAAGTATTAGCAATATTTTCTCTCTCCCCCATTTTAATGATTATAAGCAGTTGATCATATGAAAAGTGCTTTTCATGGTAAATACAAATATCTGGCCATTAAATGCAAATATTTTTCAAGTTGGTCGCTCAATTCAAATCTATTAATTTCATTCAAACAAAAGGTAACGTGATAATCTAGTTATTTGTCCAATATCTGACAACTAGTTGTCACATGTGCTTTTCTACTCGTCAACTAATAGATATGAACGAAATAATCGAATTGCAACTAATGTTCCAAATTAGTAGCAAATTTTGCATGCAGCTAACTTGTGCGTGTTTAGATTAATAATCAGGTCTCATTATCTGTCTTCAATACAGTTGTCATTTTTAAAATTTAAAAAAAAAAAAACAAAGAAAAAAGCATATGTATGTCTTCTTCTTGATAGATAAAATATTCTTGAAAGTCAAGGATATTCGAAATTCAACCACTAGACGAATAAATCAAATCAAAACAAGGGAATCGTCTATTTCCAAACTTTTGAAGGCTATTTTAATTATCTATCATTATCATTTGCAAAGGATAAATTAGAATATATTTTGTGTA